TTCTGCCCCTCAGTGCATGGCATGAACAGTCTGATGAGATGTGGGCAGGGAGAGGGATATCTTGTGTAAACACGGGTTGCATTCCTAGGCTCGGAGACTTGACTGGTGATTAAGAACTGACGTTAGTCAGAGTGACCAGCACTCCATATAACTAAATAAACAGTGCCTCCAACTAACTTACAGGACCAGCCACAATCCTTCTGTAGACCTTACCACAAGTCTTAAAGGGATATTTCATTCAAAAAAGAAAATTCGTTTAGCATTTATAATTTCTGTGGGACAAAACAGATGGTTTGTGCAAAAAATGTGTCTTTTCATTCTTTTAATGTTGTTTTGGACCCGACTGACTTTCACTGTACAGACAAAAATTGTTGACATTTTATTTTGTGTTCCACTGAATAAAGGAAATCATACAGGTTTGTATGGAAGCCCGTTTCCGCCAAGGGATGAAAATGTAATTGTGACTAATCTTTCTATTTCAGAAAAAAAGTCAGAATTGCGAGATCTCCGCAATTTTGTTTTTTGTTTCCACCATGGAAAAAAAATTAAAAATTGAATTTGAACTTTTTTCCCCACAATTCTGACTTTTCCTCTCAGAATTGAAAGTTTATATCTGTCTCAATTGTGAGATAAAAAGTAGCAACTACCTTTTTATGTTTTTATCTTGTGGCGGAAACAAGCTTTCATATAGGTTTGGAACAACATTAGAGTAACATTTGGGTCACTAAAAAAATACCAGAATTTTTAATTTTGGGTGAACTGTCCCTTTAAATTTTATACTAGAATTTAATGGCTATGAAATGGTATGTGACTTTTATGCATATGCTATAAGTATTTTACATTTATTTCAATAGCTTTGAAATAAATTGAGAAAGGAAGTGGAATATATTAACAGTTTCATAGCAGCTAGGTCGGTCTTGAGTGAAGTTTTTATCAAAATGAAACTTGACAGTAATGTCAGTTACAGGCCTTCAAGTCTATGTGGGTCAGCTGCATTCTTGAAACATTAAAACAAGCAAAACAGACTATGATGACCATTCTTAGGCAGCAAACTCTCAGAAATAATGAGCTGTCATAACAGTTTTGTTAGTTTGTGACCTGTACACAAAAAAAATAAATTGGTATTTCAGAGTAAAAACAATGACGGTAATGTCGTCATTACTAGGAATGCAACTCTAAATCCAAGTATCTGCTTATTTTCTGTTAAGAGGATACTTTTTTGGGGTTGTTCAGGCTTATTTGCAAGACATATCTGAATGAGAATTGAATGAGAATGGATAGTGCTCTAAAGACCGTTACCTCATCTCTCAGAGCAACAAAACAGGAATCAAGTGAGTGAAACAGTGAAAGAAAAAGGGGATGGGGGTGGGAGACTGTGAGAAGGAGAGAAAGACAGAAACTAGAGCAGGATGTCAATGCCCTGACTTTTCTTTAGCGGCTCAACAAAATGATTCCAATTTTTCTGTCAGTAACAGGTTAGTTTTAAATAAGTCTAAACTGTATAAGTGAACATCTTGACAGAATAAAAAGTATCTGCTTATTTTCTGTTAAGAGGATACTTTTTGGGTCGTTCAGGCTTATTTGCAAGACATATTTGAATGAGAATTGAATGAGAATGGATAGTGCTCTAAAGACCGTTACCTCATCTCTCAGAGCAACAAAACAGGAATCAAGTGAGTGAAACAGTGAAAGAAAAAGGGGATGGGGGTGGGAGACTGTGAGAAGGAGAGAAAGACAGAAACTAGAGCAGGATGTCAATGCCCTGACTTTTCTTTAGCGGCTCAACAAAATGATTCCAATTTTTCTGTCAGTAACAGGTTAGTTTTAAATAAGTCTAAACTGTATAAGTGAACATCTTGACAGAATAAAAAAAATCTCTCCGGATCTCCGAAATGAAAGTAGCACTGACCCTAATAAAAGACCAGTCAGGACATGAAGTGCCGTTTTAGACCTCACTTCCCATCATTAGTTCCACTCAGTATGCCCAGGCCTGATACTAATGAGGGTCTTGTCCTAAAACACTAGGCCAGCTCTGCATGATGGGAACTGGGCTAATACAGACCTGTCAACCTAGCGCTGAATGCCACTCCATTCACTTTGTACGCAGGGGGTGGAATGTCGCTGAATGTGGGAGAGTACATGTACTCTATGTGTTGTGTGTGTGTGCATGTTCTTTTTATGATTCACTCCACACTGAATTACAGCCAGAAACTCTCAAGCTAATCTCTCCCACTGGATCTATACACACCCCGCTGTGGGTGTGGATACACACCCATAGAAGGAGAAAGGCTTCTTTCGCACATTCAGATGTCAATAGCTGAAATAATGTTCTGGCTTATTGCACAGTAACCACCTGTTTATGTATGTATGTGTTTGTGCATATGTATACAGATACATATAAATGAGATGTATATTATAATTCCTGCATTCGGGAGACATTTTAAGTCACAACGATTAGTCTTTGGTGCATCCCGATGGGACGGGAACACTTCAGTCCTAATAAAATTTCCACAGGGTCAAACACACACTTAAGCACTCAGTCTTCCAGCTTGGAGTTCCCACTGGTCACAGATGTTGAGGGAACATGATGCAATGCAAAGAAACAGATCTCTATCTCAGTTCAGATCAGCACTAACCCTGAGCCATAACTTAATGGGAATCCAGCATGGAAAAATAAAAACAATATAAATTATAACATAAATTTTATGACAAATTATAATATGAAATTTTATGAAACACTATACAAATAATCTTGAACTGAATATCAATATTTGATATATAAAAAACTATTTTATGCATACTTTACAATTGTTTGACACTATACAAATAGTTTACAGAAAAAAATCAATGTTAAATGTTTGATATACAGGTGAGAAACCTTTTCCTCAGTTATTTTGATTATGACCTTTTCCACAAGCACATGATGCACAATCATTAAAGGGGTCATATGATGCGATTTCAAGTTTTCCTTTCTCTTTGGAGTGTTACAAGCTCTTGGTGCATAAAGAAGATCTGTAAAGTTGCAAAGACTAAAGTCTCAAATCCAAAGAGATATTCTTTATAAAAGTTAAGAGTCAACCACGCCTACCTAAAACGGCTCGTTCTAACACGCCCCCACATGTCTACCTCACTATGTGGGAAGATTTGCATAACGCCGCCCAAATGTTCACGCAAAGAAAGAAGGCGTAACTTTTATTCTCGCTGTAGTATTGTTGCTGCCGCCATGTCGTGAAGGGCGCTGTGTGTTTCATTGTGAAAGCGATGCCTGGAGCGGATCTGTGCTGGTCGCCGAGGAAATACATCAACTTCGCGCTGTGGATCGCCGGATCGGCTTTCACCGTGGACGAAGCGGAGTCCAGCCTGGGGTCGTCACATGTGGTTGCCCCAAGCCCACCGGACCCTCCTTGGTCGAGTCCGCCGGCCGCGCCATTCTCAAGCCCGTCCGCCTCTGCTCACTCAAGCAGGCCTCAGCTCACTCAAGGCCGCGGTTTGTGACGCTGTTTCGTTGTGAAAGCGAAACTACTTTGTTTGGCCTTCCAAAAAGACTACAATGCCGGCTGTTCTGACTCACAGATTGTAAGTATGTTTTTTATATTGAAAGAATTTGCCACTGACGACGATTCAAATGCAAGTTTTGAGCAGTGTAGAGTAGCGCTTGTTGTTTGTCATTTCTCGGATCACAAATGCAGACATGGTTTTATGTTTACGCGGCACGATGCAACGCAACGCGTAAAAAGACAGTATAAGTCATTATAATCCGTAATTATGTCCCCACTGGATGTAACAAATGCCTCGTTTATAATGGGTTTTAATGTTTATGTCTCATCGCTCCGGCCGGGACACGGCATCAACAGTATGTGAGGGGCGTAACATTTCCGTCACATGCTTGAGGTATTCGGCCAATCACAATGCTCTGGATAGCTGGCCAATCAGAGCACACCTCGCTTTTCAGACCGATGAGCTTTGTAAAAATTGACGCGTTTCAGAAAGGCGGGGCATAGAGGAGAAACAATAATGTAAAGTATGTGGAAAATAATGTGTTTTTTTAACCTTAAACCGCATAAACACATTTCATTACACCAAATACACCAAATATTGTTCTTTTTAGCAGCATCATATGACCCCTTTAATGCACTTTTTATTCTTTCACTAAACCCATACTTTGTACTGTTTTACTGTCACACCTAAATCCCTGTCCAAGCATGTAATTTGGCCAATAATGGCCACCTTTGGAACCCTGTTTTACAGCACTTTACACTTGCTACACTGATATAGCATTTTTCACATGGGCCCTTTACCACCACCTGTGAATATGGGAATAATAAGGAGGTCATGACTGATGAAGGACAATATGCAAATTGACCAGGATGGCAGGGTTACACAATAGGACCCCCACATGCCAAACACCCTTCTTTTAGCAACAATGGCAGTATTCCCCAGGAGGTCTCCCATCCAGGTACTGGTCAGGCTGAACCCTGCTTAGCTTCAATGGGAAACCAGGGGAGAGCAGCTGAGTGACAGCTTTTTAAATTTACATTTAATAAACCAATATATTGTAATTGAATGAAAACCACTCAGACTTCGGCTTCGGCTGACCTCGTGAAGTGATTCACTATGGATAATAACAGTGCGACCTCTTCTGTTAGTGCAAGAAACTACACAAACTAGGTTACGCTAGAGATGCGTAAATAGGGCTAGTGAGACAATAGCGTCCTCTAACGTCCGTTATTTGAATAAATCCTATAATTTATATAAATTACCCCAAACAAAAGTGCACGTTGAAGACAAATACAGAATAAACATACTGCTTTAAGATTAAAATCTATAGATTTTGTGCTTTGAGAGGCATATCACTTCATTAGATCAGATTTCTCACATTCTGTAATTCTTTTCTTCTACAAATATAATTGCCTGCGTTGCCAATATTTTCAATCAAGCGAGGGTATAGACAGATATTTTGTGGCCACGAGCTCTATCATTTACTTGTGACAGCGAGGAGGAGCCCGGGCTGTTTATTCGTTTACGTCACTCTTTCTCTCATTCCCTTCTTCCTTCCTTCCTTCCTTCCTGCCGAACAGAGAGAACCAGACCAGCAGCAATTCAAACTAGAAAGCGACATTCAAATCTTCCAAAGTGTTTTCTACGTATACATCCGATTTTTGGAGCGTGGTAAGTTCGACAACGGTCCGTTCATTATTGCCATAGAAACAGAAAACGAAACTGATCGTGTAGCCCCCGACAAAACCCGGCTGTCCCACTGTCTATCCCAGCGAAACTCACCGAATTCTGTCTAACTGGCCTCAAAAAATAATGTGCACTCTGAACTGGATGCTGATATTTACATTTCCGCTTTTCATTTGACTTCTACATAACGATTTGCACCTGTATTTCCGAGAGCACGATTCAGTATGTGGGTCATTTTATAGAGCCAAAATGTCGCCTTTTCTTTTTACTTCCACGTTCTCTCATGGCACAAACAGATGGCGTCGGGAGGGGAATGGAGGGAGTGAAAAAGAGCCGCATAAACGAATAGAGCAGGCCACACTCGCCTTCAGTTAGCCTAGCTCACTGTATGACCGGAGCAAAACTTAAGACAGGCCCATCCTCATGCGGTCTGGATTCAAGTTTCCCTCTCTTAAGTTTCTTTTTTCAACTTTGCATTTCGATGGAATGTAGCTGTTGATGATGAAGGATGTGGCTAAGTTTTAAGATGTAGCTAGCTGGCTAGTGAATTGGGATTTGTTGTAGTGTAGGTTCAAGGGTATATTTGTTGTCATATTTAAGATGAAAGACTGAGAGTGAAAGAATACGGTCTCCGGTTTAATCACTGCGAATGTTTGTCGACATCTCTGACCGCAGGTCAGGTGCATCATTGTCACATCTCCAGATCAGCTCTTCTGCGCGCTGAAAGAGCAGCAGCATCACAGTTTCAACTTTTACTATCTGGGTGACAGTTTGCATCAAGTGTTCAGACTCACTTTGCACGAAGCATGATAGTTAAATCTGACTTTTGAAGACGACGTCCAAATCATTTTCTTATGATTATGAAGTGGAGATTTTAAGTGATGGACCGTTATGGTGTTTTTTGAAATTATCGGCATAGGCCAATAACTACACCTACTTAGGGCCCGCTCATACCAAGAATGGTAACTATAAAGAGATAACTATAACAGTAATCATATAACCACACGCAGCATAACGTGGATTATTTTAAAGACAACTATATTAATGCAGTTACGTCGCCTACCGCTTTAAAAGCGCCAGATCTTTAAAGTCCAGTGGATTCTGATTGGCTGTCGTTCTAAAAGTGATTGCAAAGTTATCGTTCGTCCGTGTTGTTAAAGGGCTGTTCATACATTGCCTTTTTTCGTTATAGTTAGAATATGGTGAGAACGGGTGTTTCATGCACGTTTCAAAGTCTGTCAAACAGCTTTGTAGATTGATGATCAAACACGTTTGTATGTAATGAAATTTGAATAAATATTGTGAATATATGTTGATTTCATTTATGCTATTTGGTGTACTCTCCTTTGTCACAATTGAAATGTTTAGTAATTTAGTAATACATATGTATAGATCGGCCACTGGGTGCTCTGCTATTTAGAACGTAGTATCGGTCATTGAAAAACCCACCACAAGTTGTGTTTTTTTACATATGTATATGGTAATGAACAGGTTTGTCACATGGCATAACATGTAGGCCATCATCAGATATCAGCTTGTGTTAGGAGTGAATCGCATTTTTAAATCTTAGTTCTTATAAAGACAAAGTTGACGAGAGTGTGGGTTGTCAGTTATGCTCTAGGAAGCATTTACTATTTTTAATACTGTAAAATCAAGCAACACCTGTTTCCCTCTATCACACACTCTCTTAGTGACATCAACCGTTTGTTTCAGGTATCTGTAGATGTGAATGATATTGACGGTCCTTATTACCATTTTAACCTTCACAAATCTAACAGTCAGTTTTTATAAAAGTAGCTCTACTTGAGATGCATTGGCTGGGACAGATGGTAGTTGGGACAGATGGTAGTTAAATTCTTTTAATGCTCTATTGTCATTGCTGTTGAGATTTTGATAACAATACATGTTTATCTTATAAAAATAATGGGCACGATTTATAGATAATAACAAATTAGTGCATATGTACCCTATGTAATATCACACAGTGATGAGGCTTTAAAGATGTCTGTACTATATTTGTGAAAAATATAGATGCAGTTTAGACTACGCTGTATTTACTGTGACTCTTTAAAGGCCTTGCCACATGGGATGACTTTTGTGATAAAATGTTCTTGCTTTGTTCTAACGTAAAACTTATCATGTGATGTGTCTATAGCGCAGCATTAGGCTTGATTGACCTAGATGCTATTGGAAACATAGTCCAGTGAATCATGCCACAACGTTCGTTATCTGGGTATTACTCCAGCTACCTGCTGTACCTTTGCTGCTGTACTCTGAAAACTCTATAAATGCAGTGAGCATCTCTCTTTGTGTGGTATATCACAAACGGCTTCTGTTTGTATGTGGCCAGCATCTATATTAGTTGTACGTTTGAGACAACAAAGACAATTGCAGAGTAAAAAATAGCACATGAATGATTTTTAAAACTTGTGCTTAGTGATACTGACGTGTTGATACAAGGTTTTTTGTGCAGGTGCTATGTAAAAGTAGATAAATAAGTGTTTAGTAGATAAAGGAAAAGTTAATCTGTGTGGTTGCTTGGTTTCAAAAATGTACAGATTCTAAATTGTAACTTATTTCTGTCTCAGGCCACTAGTTTCCAATTGAAATAGAAACATTTTGTTTGTTGTGAATGTATCAGCCCGTACCTCTTTGTTGTTTAAAATTATCATTGATAAAGGTCATGCAAGTAATGGAACCTTTTGAAAGCGTAATGAAGTGCTACTATGTTGGCAGTAAGTCCTTATTAAATATCACAGACTAGTACTTGAAATATAGTGTGTGAGCTCTCTAGGTAGGATATACAAGTTCAGAACAACTATCTGTCATGTTTGGCTCAACTATAATCAGATTCAGAGAAGTCTGAATGGAGTTTGAAAATGTAAATACAGTTTAGTCAGTTCCAGTGTTGCCATAGTTGCTGTTTTGACTTTGTAGGGTAGAAATGCTGCATTACATATGGGCTATGCTGCCTCATTCATCAACACATTCATGGATGCTGCATAGTAGTTCAATTATTAAAGCATTACCCACATCTAATATGTGACCCTGGACCACAAAACCAGTCTTAAGTCGCTGGGGTATATTTGTAGCAATAGTCAAAAATACATGGGTCAAAATTATATATTTTTATTTTATGCCAAAAATCATTAGGATATTACGTAAAGATCATGTTCCATGAAGATATTTTGTAAATTTCCTACTGTAAATATATTCAAACTTAATTCTTGATTAGTAATATGCATTGCTAAGAACTTAATTTGGATAACTTTAAAGGCAATTTTCTTAATATTTTGATTTTTTTTGCAACCTCAGATTCCAGATATTCAAATAGTTGTATCTCGACCAAATATTGTCCTATCCTAACAAACCATACATCAATGGAAAGCGTATTTATTCAGCTTTCAGATGATATATAAATCTCAATTTTGAAAAATTGACACTTAAGACTGGTTTTGTGGTCCAGGGTGACATATGCATCTTATGAATTTCTTTACTGAATTATTAAACTTCTTTGCATATTTCGTAATATTATTATTAATTTTTATTCATAGCTTTGCACCAAATTCCCTGGTATTTTATTTTTGTATTACCAGAACATCTTACTGAGATGTGCAGATCTTTCTCAGGGGGAGACCCTTTCGATCTTTCTCTTTCTCCCATTTTCTCTCTTCCTTCCCTTCCCCCAATTTAATTCTCTTTTTTTCTTTCTTTTTCACTTGTTCCCTTTAATACAGCCACAACACACATTCAAACTGACTTAACTTTCCTTTTTCTGTTTTCTATCCTGAGTTTTTCCTCCATCCTTCCCTTCTACTGTAATTCTTTTTCTGTCCTTTCCCATTTCTGTCTCCCCCCCCCATCTCCCTCTCTCTCTTTCTCCTTCTCCCTCTCTCTCCCCTCCCTCTCCTGTTCTCTTTATCTCCTCCCCTCTCTCCCTCTATTGCTCTCTCACCATTTGCTCTCTCACAATACCTCCCTCCCTCTGTCTCTCCTCACTGGTAAAGGCTTCTCTTCTCCTCCCTTATCCCTCCATTTTCTCTTCTTTTACAATCCTTCTCTTTCTCAGCCATTTTATATGGAGGTATATCTACTAATCTTACATCCAAAATCAATACTTACTCAATAATTGCAAATTTATGTAATAAGGTGTAATTATGTCCAACAGTTATAAATGAACTTTAATGACTTATCAACAATGGGACCCATTCATGAAACACAAGCAGAATGAATTTGTGTGTGCATGAGTGGTTCATAAAACCATTCTTACATAAATTGTTTCCATGAATGTGAGTGCATTCAAGTTATTTACATTTATTCAAGATAAATAATGCAAACTGATTAGCTGTGACTATATAGCATAGCCTCTCATACCTTATTGCTTATTTGTTTGAATATACATCTTGTAATTTGTGTGATTTTTTTTCTATACCAAGTTTGTTTAAGTTGCAAATGATTGAAAGTTGCAATAGATTTTAGTGCAGCTTTGTGTATTTCACTGTTTTTTGTTTGTGTGTGCCTATATATGTATCTTTTTGATGTGTGTCAGAATCATGTAGACTGTATTTGTGCACACTCACATGGAAAGTGTGGCATATGGATGTGAAGGCTTTTAAAGAACAGCAAAGTTTAAATGCATCGTACCAGCTTGACACAGATTGAATGGATACTCATATGTAAGACCATAAATGCACATCACATAGTGTCTGCTGAGCATTAAAACAGAGAGATGTGCTGAACGCCCGTTTCTCAGTGCACAGGCCAAAAGGTCCTCGTCTGGCACAGACTCTCTCAGATGCATGCATGCTTGCTCTTCCTCTGTTCTGTCAACCTGCCTAGAGTATGGTGGTGAAGCGTTGTTTTTACATATCAAACCTGTCACTTCCTTTTTTTCATCTGCTTATGCATTTCCATTATGTACTCCTTTTAATTTGATCTCAAATCAGTATTGTTTAATAGAATACGTCTTGTGTATTCCTTTTATTTACTTTGTTGCTGCTTCCTTCTGTTTTTACACTCTGTCAAGTACATCTTCTCTTTGTGTGCTTGCTGTGATGTACATGTATCCGTATATGTTTATGGCTGAGCTCATAATCTTTTTTCACAGCATGAATGTTTGTGTTTTCAAACATGTTTCACAAGTGTATGCAAGAGAGAATGTCTAAGTGAGACAGATGGAGAGAGTTTCAGGAAGGAACAGAGAGAAAGAACGAACGAAAGAAAAAAAGAATGAAAAGAGGGGGAGGGAGTGAGGGAAAAGAGCACTGTGTATGTGTGTATTCTTGCTTGCGCCAGAGAGAGAGAGAAACAGAAAGAGAGAGAGGGTAGTGGGGGAGGGGAAAGCAGAGAGAGAAAAAGAGTGAGAGAGGAAAAAGAGAGCACACATACACAGAGAACAGAGAGAGAGTGCAAGAAACACAGAGGAGAGTGTGTCTGTTCTGGTACAGACAACATATAATGTATGAAGGGGAGGGCAGTGGGTGAATTCGAACCTGTGACTCCGTGTCAGAATGAGATCTCTCAAACACCTGAAGCCACAGACCAAGAAAAATGTGGTGAGTTCCCTTTGCAACTGCTCCAGTGCCCTCTAAGGCCGCAGTTTGTTTAGCAGATTGTTTGTTTATGTGTGTGTGTTCACTAAACTGGATGGCCCAAATGAATGGCCTGATCGAATGGCTTGGAATATTTTTATGTATTTGATTGCTTCTTGTTTTTTTAATTGATGTAATGTTTTATTCACAGTGATTATTTAATTATTTGCTCAGTTTCAAAATTCATCAGCTGCTTTTAGTCTTCTTTGTCTCTCTTACACACTAATCCTTAATTTTCCCTTTAATTTTTCAATCTCTATTTCTTTCTCATTCTCTTTCTTGCTTTCACTCACTCGTCGAGCCACTCTGCCCCTCCCTCCCTCCCTCTTTCTTTCTTCTCTTTCTGTTAACTCACTCATTCTCCCTGCTGTCTGTCTCTCTTCCTTTTCTTTTCCTCAGTCTGCATCTCCCTGTCTTTTTAAAGATCATAGAAATACATGTTCTTCATGTTCTTGAAAATGCCTACTAGCACAATTATCATTACAATTATTTTTGTAACATTATTTGCATGATGCTTAAGCAGAGTCAGAATTTTCTTAAGGTGTGGAATCCTCCTTAAAAAGGGTCACCTGTCTGCGGGAATGTGGTTTTGTGTTGAGTGACTGAGATGAGAGGTAGTAAGTAAAAAAACTGGACAGTGCTGACTGGGTTACCTTGTTTTAAACTGATAGTTCACCCAAAAATGAAAATTCTATCATCATTTACTGACTCATGTCATTTTAGACCTGACTTACTTTCTTGTGTGGAAAAATAAAAGAAGATATTTTAAGGCTTTTTTTTTTTTTTGGACCATACATTGGAAGTCTGTGGCAACCACAACAGTTGGGTTACCAGCATTGTTCAGGGTAGTCCAGGTTTTGAATGACATGAGGATGAGTAAATAAAGACAATTATTCAATTATGAGTGAACTATCCCTTGCCCCTGGATGTGTATTTTTTGCACCACTAGTGGCACCGTTTGTTTGCACAGGCAGATATGGCTTTAGCCAGTTGTGGGAGACTGGGATGGGGTTACCTTTATAAACTAAGCCAGATGTGGGGAGTGTTTGAAACTAGTTTGAAAACAGTCAGTTCGGTTTGGTGCCACTAATGCAGTTTGGTTCAGTGTTGCTCAAATAGTCAAAATATCTTAAATTTTTAGGTTATTGACATTCAGATCATCACAAACATACTAATATAGAAGTTTACAGTTTGTATGTACATGCTGATGTTTATGATAGCAGCCGAAGATAAGTAAATAACCTATTGAAAGCAGATTTTTTTAGGCTGTTTGTTTTTGATTCCACTGTTGTATTTACATTAGACAAAGTTTGCCTCATTTTCAGAAGTTGGTCTGACAGGCTCTAACTTTCACATTGTATTGCAATGTAAAGAAATATGGCTGCACACCTAGCTGAAGTCATTATCTATTACATAGGTGCCAATATGAACATTACAAAAAATATAAATAAATGTTTTAATGTTTATAAAATTCAATAAAAAAATTTGAATACAAATTTACCACATCAGTAATGTTTCCATAGTGCTTTCCCCAATGACATCTAGTCCATGCTATACGTGTTTGCAAATTATCTTGGGTAGTTTCGAACAAATAGACAAACTGATCATGCAGGCCTACTAAAGTAATCTGCGTGTGTTTGTATGTGTGCTTTACAGGAGGAGAAAACACAGCGGCTGGTCAGATGTTACTCTGAGGCCATGCACCAGCAGATGGACGCAGGGACACAGACAGACCCTGTGGTGGTCCTGTCACTGGCTCAAGCTGCTGTGTTGGGACTCATCTCCCAGAATGAGGTCTTTGGCGCCACCATCGCCCCCAACGGCTTTTACACCGGAGACCCCAAAGAGTCCCCCGCTCCGCCAGGTGAGAGAATGGACTACGAGTATGCTGACCAACTTATAGGCGCCAACGGCGACTATCTTGGGGAGAATTTGGGTGAGGATGGGCACATGCACTCCAGCTGTGCTGAGAGAAGGTGGCAGGGTCAACCCGAGAACAGCAAACCCCCTGTAGGGCACCAAGACATGGCAACACACGTTAAAGGAGAAGCCGTGACCCCAGGTTTGCCCTCCTGCACTCACATGATGAACAACATGGTGCCCAGAGAAGGCATGCAAATGGTCGACCCCTCCAGCTACAGGGTCCTGCCCAAAGCCCAACCCAACAACTGCTGCTCCACCTGTGTCCGAGACCCCAAGAGTATGCATACTCCACCCGATCCACATTTACACCCACATTCCCATGGTCACAGCCACGCACCTCATGAGGTACCATCACGCAACAGGGGCCACACACATGAAAAAGGAGTAGATGAGGTAACTGAGGACAGGGATAACGGGAGAAATGGCATGGGGAAACCAGGAACCGGCGGCGAGGAAATTAGCAATTATTTTCAGCCGAGCGAGGTGGGCTATGAAGGTGGCGAGATGGAAGGGGTCGGAGACTTCGATGAGAACAGCGAGGGGATGTTCTGGACAGAGCCAGTGGAAGGAGAGGCACCCCGTGGCCGCCGTATTGACCGACTGGACATCAACATCCAGATCAATGAGTCGTACTGCGTGGACGTCGGCGAGGGCCTCAAGCGCTGGAAGTGCCGCATGTGCGAGAAGTCGTACACCTCCAAATACAATCTGGTCACACATATCCTGGGCCACAATGGCATCAAGCCACACGCGTGTCCACACTGCGGAAAACTCTTCAAGCAGCCCAGCCACCTACAGACACACCTGCTGACGCACCAGGGCACGCGGCCACACAAGTGCACCGTGTGCAAGAAGGGCTTCACCCAGACCAGCCACCTGAAGCGGCACATGCTGCAGCACACCGACGTTAAGCCCTACAGTTGCCGTTTTTGTCGCCGTGGTTTCGCATACCCTAGTGAACTCCGTGCTCACGAAGTAAAGCACGAACGAGGTCGGTGCCATGTTTGCTCGCAGTGCAGCATGGAGTTTCCCACCTACGCCCACCTGAAGCGTCATCAGGTGAGCCACCAAGGACCTTCCACCTTCCAGTGTAGCCAGTGCAACAAGTCGTTCGCCTACCGCAGCCAGCTGCAGAATCACCTGCTGAAGCACCAAACGCAGCGCTCCTTCTCCTGCAGTCAGTGTGGCCTGCAGTTTCTTCAGCTGCATCAGCTACGCCAACACTCCCTCACACACAAGACAAACAAGCCTCAGGCCCGTGCTACTAAGGTACAGAAAGCAATAGTGTGCTTTTGAACAACTATGTATGTTTGTTGTTGTTTGCTATGGTGAGGTCACATCCTACATGTATAATGAGTCTTGCTGTTAAATTTGTTTTTTATTTCAGTACATTATCAGTCATTGTTTTAATTATTATCAGCCAATACTACATAATTCTGTCTGTTTATTGTAGATTGTCATCTAGCAGTAACGCAAAGCAGTGTTTGCAGGTTTTTTGGGGCCCCTTTACAGTTTATTGCATTGGGTTTGACTTTACTTAATTGCAAACTCAACCAATGATTCTAATTCATTGGATTTAACTCTTTGAACTCTGTTGTGTAACATTTTTCATCGAACTAGCAGATTCCAAAGGTCCTCCTCCTTTTATCATTGTTTCAAAAGGAATATCTATCTTTAATACTGTACATTCAGTAAGAGTGTAATATGGTAAAATGGTAAAGGCATCTTTTCTCCATTCTCATCCCTCCATTTTCTTTCTTCTCATTCTCACTCACAGCCATTTTCCTGTGAATTGTGTGAATGGAATCCTTCCTGAATCCTGTGAATGGAAAATGTCCATCGTAGCAGAAGATCTATGTAGCCTGCATTAGTACCTTAAAATACAATGCAGTATATTTCAGCCAGTAACATAGTATTTTCATAGACATGCTAATTGTTCAGACTAATTATCTACTGCTGACGTAAAATTCAAAATTATTCTACATGTAGTTTATTCACTTGTTGTTGTTGCTTGTTTTTAACAGGGGACAAAGGGGTTTAAATGTGATGTATGTGCCAGAGAGTTTACATTGTCTGCAAACCTGAAGAGGCACATGTTAATCCACGCCAGTGTCCGGCCATTCCAGTGTCATGTGTGCTTCAAATCTTTTGTCCAGAAACAAACCCTCAAAACTCACATGATCGTACACCTGCCTGTGAAACCCTTCAAGTGCAAGGTAAAACTTCAAACACTTTTCACACATCTCTATGTGACACTTTTTCCATCTGGTTTGTAAAGCTCTTTTGATTTGTTTTCCACAGGTGTGCGGAAAATCATTTAACCGAATGTACAACCTCCTGGGCCACATGCACCTCCATGCAGGCAGTAAACCCTTCAAATGTGTATACTGCTCAAGTAAATTTAACCTGAAGGGAAATCTTAGCAGACACATGAAGGTCAAACATGGAATGGACGTCTCTCCAGATGGACAAGGTGAGAAGAACCCAACAGTATCTGATTAACATCCTCTAACATGGCAGCAAAACCTTATAATCGTCTGCCTTTTCTATTTTATTTTGATTTTTAATATAGATCGCCCACCAGACATGGAGCCCCATGAGGACTATGAGGATGAGAACTTCAATTTTACAACACCAGAGAATATGGAAAATAATGATGCGCCAAACCTAACTAAGCTCTCTGAGGTGGCCATCCAGGAACTTGACTATTATAACTTTGGAAAGAATGTGGGAAACTACAGTACAGCATAAAAACTGAATTAAAGTCAAGCTGAATAAATGTTAAGTAACAAATGGCCTGTGCTGGCACTTAATCAACCATGAGTTGGTTGAGATGTTCCTCCTTGAGAACCACTGCTACCCTTTTTGAAGTTGTTAATGAGCAGGTAGTTGAAGGCCATCTTGACCTCCTGGGGTAGCCACTCCGGTTGGGTCTCTAATAAGAAGGGACTGATAGTTTTGCAAAGAGTCCTTTGACTCCTTCCAGCTCGAACAAACATCAACGCCGTATTTTAGTATGTTGTGGATCACATGGTTACATTAATACCCAATACATTAGCATCATAAAATGCTGGTGCATACACATACAGTCTTGTGTAATGTAATGCACACTGTCCTCCAAATATAACTTTGGTTGGGAATATGGGAATAGCAGGTGCATGCAGCCTTGTGGCCTTCATCTGTGTGGTACCTCAGAGCAGTCGATTTACTTATTTTCATTTACATTGCCTTCACTTACAGTAACTCATAGAAACAAAAAGAGACTTCTAGCGTAAAACAAAAAACATGTAAGGCCCATGTAAATGGTTGGATATCTGCATGAGTAGATAGGCTTGTGTGGTTAAAAAGGAAATAAAGAGTGAGCGTGTGCCTGGGCTCTGTGTACCAAAGCTACTGCTCTTCATCTGGTACAGGACCATATGCTGCCCATTCCTGAACACCACTACTGTTGTCAGAACTAAACGTAATCTACAGTTTGGTTTAACAACCTCTGAGTGGAGAATTACTGTTCCGTTATATTGATTTGCTATTTATTTTGCACTTTGAAAAAGTCAGTTAATTACTTATGATGAGCCTCTTTCATCACTGACTGAGTTCTTGTATAATTAAGAGATAAAGCGAAGTGTCACATTAGTAGTAAGCGGTTTCTCAAGGCAACTCTGTAGATTCTTAAATAAACTTGTTTTTTGAAGTAGTTTTTTTGTAAGTATATGTACTGAAATGAATGTTTAGATGGACAATGTGCTCAACTGACTTAGACTAGACTATAAACTTGGTTTGGGTCTTTGATCTTTCAAGCCGTTTCATGGCACTCAGCGGGTGTTGCATGCTTCAGTCCAAAAGCATTTAATTAAAATGCGCCCATCCATAAAAAAAAAAAGAAGTGTCTCACACGGCTCCGGGGGGTGAACGAAGGCCTTCTGTAGAGAATCTATGCGTTTTTTTAAGAAAAATATCCATATTCAAAACATAATAATCACTTTAATGTAGCTTGCGCTCACTGTTGTACACTGGAAGCAGTTCCGGGCGGATGACGTATGGAGGTCGGCTTTGCGCATGCGCTGCTCAGAGGTGATTACTTTTTGTACGCAAAGAAAACAAAAATAACGACTTTATTCAACAATTCGTCTCCTCCGCGTCACCCTAGCGCCATTTTGGAGAATATCCACTGAAAGTAAACAGCGTATGCTATTCTGTGTCAGCTTTTCATTTTTGGGTGAACTATCCCTTTAATTCAGGATGAGCATGCGTTATAAAAACAAAATACAGGTACAAATCACAATCTAGGTTCAGTTACTTTATCAAATGGCATTATTTGAAAGAAAACGTGACAAAGATAAGATTATTCAAGAGTTTATATTATCTTTAATATTACATGTTTAATGTTACAGGAACAAAAACATACAGCATATTTTATATAAAACAACAGTACAAGTAAATGCTGTTGGGTGTACAATAAGGGGGAAGCAGAAAACCAACACATATCAAATCAACAAACAGGTAAAGAAATTGATATTTTCTAGATGATGAAAGGGTTAGTAAATATGTGCAGCCTCCCACTTGAATTGCCTCCAAGCAGAATGTTCCTGCTTGGGTGGAATGCTGTGATGGAGCACACCGTGGTCAGGTGGTCCATGTTTTGAAAAGTGTGTAGGCGGCGACCGCTCTCGTGATGTACCTGAATTCGGCGAGGCCTGTCCACTGCCAATCACAAAACATTCTTGCTGCTTTGGATCCCACACTGCACTTAGCTTGGACAACCACTGACCTGTCTGCATGTTGTGCCTGCATAGAAATAATTTTGCAGGCTGTTACAATGGGAACTAGGGATGTAACAATTCACCGTGAGATACAAATATGTGACGATTCAAATCAGTTGAGATGTTAAATGAATCGTGATACATTTGGGGGTGGGTGTTTATATGAATGTATCTCTGAGGGGAACTGACTGTCTTTAGAAAAGTTTAGATAACATTTTCTTTTCATCTCGTCTCTGTATAATGCATATTAAAGCAGCGTTCATAAGCGCTGCGCTGCTTTGTTTACAGCCAAGGAATCGCTGTATCGCTGCTGTTCCATAAGCGCCACCTGCGGTCAGAGAGTGTAATTGCATCTGATTCAGCCCGTCTGCTGTCTTTGTTTCGTGCAGATGTTTTATGTAATACAGTTTCACAAAACAAAAGTCAAAGCATTCGGTTTTGTTTTAAAATTTCAAATTATACAATCTAATTTAGATTAAAAAAAACTGCTCATGCTGCATGTATTAAGCATCTTTGCTTAATCGAATCGTCATCCCTAATGGGCACCTCTAGTAAAAAAAAGTTATTGGAAAAAAAAATGGTCCAACAAAAACTTTTGGAAAGGGCCAGATGTGCATAAATTCAACCATTCAAATTCAATTTTGCAGAATAATCTAGAAATCTGGTCGGAATAAACTAAACTATATTCATTTATCACCAATATTAACAAAACAATATTTTGTGTTAATTTAGTACGTTTTCATCCGCTTTTTGGGGCATCATTTTACATACAGTGTTCCAAATTATTATGCAAGTGAAATATCAATAGGATTTCGGTACAATAAACAGTCAGATTTTTGTTTGTTCTGTTTTTCACATCATTTCAGTTAACTGGTATCAATCTCAGACAGGTTTGTTCAATAGTTTGCCAGGTCTTCTTAGGTAAATGGAAATCCTACTTAACCCCTTAATTGTCACTCACATTTTTGAACATAGACGTGAAAGTGCACTATCTAAACTTAAATTTTTATAATTCATGAATGAAAACATTTTGTAACATGATTTTGATGTACCATTTTCATGGTAATGCAATGTCTGATTTTAGAATGGTTTTCAAAGGAAGAATTTTGAGATTTTCAGTTTTCATTTGATATATAATTTCTGATAGAGAAAAAGGCAACAAAGAAGACTTTTTGTGACGAAGGTCAGAACTCGTTATGTAGATTTTTGAGGTGCACTCTTGTCATAAATGAATCTATTACTTTTCCTACATAATTTTTAACAAAAAGCAGTGGTGAAATATCTATTTAGGAGTCTTAGACCTTTCCAATGATATATCAATAGGATTTCGGTTCAATAAAGAGTCAGATTTTTGTTTGTGTTGTTTTTCACATCTTTTTAGATAACTGTATCAATCTCAGACAGGTTTGTTCAATAGTTTGCCAGGTCTTCTTAGGTAAATGGAAACCCTGCTTAAAGAGGTTGTTCCACATTATCAAGCAAGTCACAGTTCTCATGCAGTATGGTGAGGAAGAAAGATCTTTCTGAAGATGAAAAGTATGAAACAATGCAATGTCTTGCAAAAGGCATCAAAACAAATAATACTTTGCGAAAAGCAAATAGAGATTATTGAAGTGTCCACATTGTAGAAACTTAATTTGCTGTAAAGTTGCTTTGCAATGATTTGTATCGTGGAAAGCGCTGTACAAATAAACTTGAATTGAAAAGTGTCAAAAGATTTGTGAGTGACTTAGAGCACAGAAGATCTTGGACAAAGATTTATTAAGGAAAGTTTCTGTCAAACAAATGAATTGTATAGTAATGCCAGCTGTATAAAAGCCACTGCTGAGCAGCAGACAGGTGTTTGAAGCTACTGGAGTCTCAAGATCCTCTCCATACTATCCCATGCTGCATAAATACCATGGTGCTAAACAGTTTGAAAATGTGTTTCTACAGCCACTGTGCAGGTTTCTCTTTGTGAGGTTTGGTTAGCAGTGACTGAAACGCAGCTTTACACACAACTGCCAGTCTGCATGGAGAGGATCTTGAGACTCCAGTAGCTTCAAACACCTGTCTGCTGCTCAGCAGTGGCTTTTTTACAGCTGGCATTACTATACAATTAATTTGTTTGACAGAAACTTTCCTTAATAAATCTTTATCCGTCCAAGATCTTCTGTGCTCTAAGTCACTCACAAATCTTTTGACACTTCAATAATCTCTATTTGCTTTTCGCAAAATATTATTTGTTTTGATGCCTTTTGCAAGACATTGCATTGTTTCATACTTTTCATCTTCAGAAAGATCTTTCTTCCTCACCATACTGCATGAGAACTGTGACTTGCTTGATAATGTGGAACAACCTCTTTAAGCAGGGTTTCCATTTACCTAAGAAGACCTGGCAAACTATTGAACAAACCTGTCTTGAGATTGATACCAGTTATCTAAAAAGATGTGAAAAACAACAAACAAAAATCTGACTCTTTATTGTACCGAAATCCTATTGATGTCACTTGCATAATAATTTGGAACACAGTGTATGTTCTTTGACCATTTTTGTAGCCCTGTTCACATTATGTAATTATTTTGATTTATAAACAGGTTATCATGATGTTTGTAAAGATATACCAGTTTAAAAGTTTGGAGTAGGCAAGATTTCTTCTCTTCTGCTCACCAAGTCAAAAATATGAGCAAAACAGTAACATTGTGAAATTATAACGTTTAACATATTACAACTTAATTTTTTCATATATTTTAAAACGTCATTTATTCTTGTGAGGGCAAAGCTGAAATTTCAGGAGCCATTACTTCAGTTTTCAGTGTCATACGATCCTTCTAATCAAAATCATTAAAACATGCTGTTTTGCTGCTCAAGAGACCATTCTTATTTATCAATTCTGAAAACACTTGTGCTGCGTAATACTTTTGTGGAAAGGGATACTTTTTTTTTTTCATTATTCTTTTGATCAAAAACGTCAAAAGAACTGATGATGTCATGATAGAGATGATTTTTACACATATAATAACGATATATGTACTTACATAATTGATTTTAGTACAGGAGTCCTGCCATCCATTTGGGAAGTGTCGAATACCCTGAAACAAAATCACAAAAAGGCTAATAAAAACATTTGTAATACATATCGTAATGCATTTCCAAATCTTCAGCCCCCAGCATCCCCATGACCCTAGAGGATAAGCGGTTTGGAAAATGATGCCATTTCCAATTCTAGTAAGACAATGTAAGACAAATTTATAACTTTTTAGTTGCTAATAATAATTGTAAAAAAGCCAACACAACCTATTTTGGCTTAAATGATAGTCATAGCCATGATGCTCTGACACCCTCTACTGGTGCATTTTCAAAAGAGAATGGAGGGATATCCAAGATTTAATATAAGCACTTCTAGCAGTGACACTTGCGATCTCTGAGCACCTGATCTTGTTGTCCATACAAGTGGTCAGAACTCTGTTGCCTGTGAGTGGGGAGAAAAAGGCACTGGAGACGCTGCGGCTGTGACCGTTGAGTTCACCAACTGCTTGATTGTTTCTTCTTTTCAGATGGCGCAAGTCATATACGTTTACAAAACTAAAAGAATAAAAAAAAAACACAATATCCTTCAGTCTGCAGGATATGTAGTCATTTACTCGGCAACTTGTGGAACATCATGTTGATAATTCTTTCATGAAAATTAACTTTTTTCCCAAGCATTATTCTAGTTATGAAGTATTCTGAAATACCTGCTCTCTGCCACTACAAAGCAATGCCGTTGCACAGGATGGACATGAACCCAGCTTAGTGGTTTTGCAGCCATGGTATACACAGATTCATATGACTTCCTGCAATCACATGTTTTCTTTATTAATTATGATGTAAATAAATATATTTCTGTGGGTTTTTTAGCTTCAACATTTATGTTGACATTTTGGTCTTACTCAGGAGTTCTCCGAT